TCCACTGAGATCTTCGGCAGCATCCTCGGGCCCGCCGATCCTACTGCCGCCGCCCCCGCCGCCGTGGGTCGGTCGAGCGAGCTCAGCTGCAGCTGCAGCTGCGGCACCGCTCCGGGGCCACCGCCGACGCCGCCGGCCGCGACCGGGGCCGACCGCACGCTCGGGATCCTCTCGAGGCCCCTCGGTGCCGTCGCCTGCGTCGGCGTCTGCCCCTCGACCGACGACTGCTGCTGCTGCTGCTGCTGGGCGGCCACGGTGCTCGCCAGGTAGGGCCAGCCCCACACGTCGGCGACAAATTTGGCAATGTCGGGCTGCGGCTGGCGCGTCTCGCTCTTGCGGATGAAGGGGTGGCTGATCATCTTGTTGGGGCCGGGCCGCTTGGTGGGCTCCTTTTCGAGGCACCGCTCGATAAAGTCGCGCAGCGCCTTGCCCCACTTGATGCCCGCCCGCTCGTCGTCCTGCAGCTCGGGCACCTTCATGTTGACGACGTACGACAGCAGGTCGATGGGGCCCAGCGGCGGGTCGCCCTCGGGCGGAAAGGGGAACCGGTTCGACGCCACCTCGAGGATCGTCAGCCCGAGCGACCACACGTCCGACGTGATCGAGTAGGGCAGCCCGCGGATCCGCTCGGGCGCCATGTAGTAGCTGGTGCCCGTAAACGTGCCCGCCACGCTGTTGATGAGCTCGCCCGAGACGCCAAAGTCGCACAGCTTGATCTGGCCCTGCCGCGTCACCAGGATGTTGGACGGCTTGATGTCTGCGGCGGGCGGCGAGAAGATGAAAGGCGGCGAGAACGGGTACGGGGCGCGCAGATGCAGGTGTCTGGCCGTCAGCCTCTCTCCCAGCCTCGTCCGACACATCGACGACGCCCGGTAGCCGCCGGCGCCATCGCCGGCGCCTCCGACGCCTCCACCGGGGCGCCCGCTCACCTCGATGGATAATCTTGCGCTCGTGCAGGTAGCTCAACCCCTTGAGCACGCACTCGGCCACCTTGCCCAGCACCTTTTCGCCCGTCCGACCGTTGCGGCTCTTGACCTTCTTGTAGATTGCGTCGAGCGAGCCCGCCTCGCAAAACTCCATGCAGATCGAGATGGTCGTGTCCTGCTCCTCGAGAAAGGCGCCATAGTATCGCACTATGTAGTCGCTGTGGCAGGTGCGGTTGAACGACAGCTCGCGCAGGATCTGGCGGTGGATGGCCGGGTTCGGCGACGTCGACATCGTCTACCAGACGGGGCAGCGGAGCGGGCGACACGGGAATGGCCGGACAACGGGCGGGGACAGGCGGGCAACGAACAAGGTGAGTCGGACATCCTCGGCACGGTCGGCACACTCGGCGAGCGTTCACAGACGGGGGGCAGGGTGCGACTCACCTTCTTGGCCATCAGCAGGCCCGTCGGGCGGTGCCTCGCCTTTTTCACCTCTCCGCTGGCTCCCTCGCCCAGCCGGCTGAGGATCTCGAGGTTGCCCGGAAGGACGAGGTCCTCATCGCCGCCACTGCCGCCGCCGCCGTTGCCGACCCTCTGCGCTCCGTCGACCGACACCCTACCGGACGCCACCGACGCCGTCGAGCCCGCGCGCGACCGGACGCTAGCGGTGCCCGACCCGGACGCCCCTCCTGTCGGGCCGTCGTGGCGGTGGTCATCGGCCGCCGCCGCCGCATCGCCCGACGACTGCCAGTAGCCGGCGTTGGGGTTCCTGCTGCTGGTGGCGGGTATTCTGAGCCCGTTGGCGTCGGTGCGGTCGTCTTCGTTGAGGCTGATGCCGCCGATGGCGCGGCGCAGGTCGTCGGTCAGGGCGTTTTGGGTGTGCGCATTGGTGAGGTGCGGGACAGTGTCCGGGTAGATGCTCGAGGCGGTCGAGGTGAAGCCGCCGACGTTGCCGTCGTCGTAGCCGTCGTCGTGGGCGTACGGGATGTTGAGCGAGAGCGACGACGACGACGCCGCTGCCGAGGGAATGACGAGCGAGGGCTGCGGCCGCTGGGACCCGGCGGTCGCGCCGTTGAAGGACGGCTCGCCGAAGCCGTCGCCGCCCGTGCCCGTGCCCGCGCCCGTGGCCGCCCCCGCCCCACCTCCGAAGGCCTGCTGGGTCGAGGGGTTGTGGGACGAGCTGGGCCGCGCGGGGATCGAGAGCTTGGGCATCCCCGGCTTCTTTGGCTTCTTGGGCGGTATGAGCGAGGCCATGTCGGGCGAGGTGGCTCGAGGACGAGCGAGAGCGGCAAGGCCTGCGTGGGCGCTGCAAGAGGGCCTGTGCAAACGAGGTGAGAGCGCGAGGCCGGAGGGGCAGGGCAGACGTTGCGGTGGTGGTCGACGAGAATGACGCGGCGGGGTCGATGGTGGTGTTGGTGGTGGTGGTGGTGTCGGTGTTGGTGTTGGCGGTGGTTGTGGATGCCGCAAAAAGGGTTTGGGCCGGCCAGCAGGCGAGGCGAGGCGAGGCGGCAGGCGGAGCGGCGTGCACGGGCTCCCTCTGCGCCGATGTCGTTGGGTGCCAACTGGCCTGGCGGGCCAGGCAGGGCCGGCTGAGCCGCGTGCGTGCACCTGGCCGCCTGCGCGATGATGGCCCACCGAGAGGCCGGCCTCGTGTAGGCAGGCAGTTGGTTAGGCTAGGGTCCTCGAGCTGCTGCAACCCGAGGTCCAGCCTCCAGCCTCCGCCGACCTTCGACCTCCGACCTCCATCCAACCTTCCCCCATCCTCCTCTCGACCACCACTGCCGACATCTCACAGCGCCTACCTTTCACGCTGCATCCGCCACCCGTCGTTGTCTATCCACCGCCAGCCACCCGCCACCCCATCTTGGATCCTTGTGCCTTGTGCCGCACCACCGCCGCGCGCCATGAACATTGTAGAGAGCCTGTTTGGCCGCTCAAAGACGCCCGCCGAGCGGCTGCGGCAGCACCAGCGCACCCTCCAAAAGGCGCAGCGCGAGCTCGACCGCGAGCGCACCAAGCTCGAACAGCAGGAAAAGAAGCTCATCGCCGACATCAAGAAGAGCGCACGCAGCGGCCAGATGGTGCGTGGTCCCGCGCGGCCGCCTAGACTCGGTGCATCCGCATGCTGACCCTATCGACCTCTCGACCCGGTCGCCCCCCCCCCCCCCCCCCACTTCTTGTTGCAGCCGGCGTGCAAGGTCATGGCGAGGGACCTGGTCCGCACCCGCCGGCACATCCACAAGTTCTACCAGATGAAGACTCAGCTGCAGGCCGTCTCGCTGAGAATACAGACGCTGCGCAGCAACCAGCAGATGGCCGAGGCCATGAAGGGCGCCACGCGGGTGAGTGCAGGCCAAGCGCTGCGGGAGACCTGGCCCCTCGCTGACGTGCCAGTCTTCCCCTCTCCCTCCCTTCCTTGGCTTGATCGCACCCGCAGGCGATGGGCACCATGAACCGGAGCATGAACCTGCCCCAGATCCAGAGGATTATGCGCGAGTTTGAGCGCGAGAGCGCCACGATGGACATGAAGGAGGAGATGATGGGCGACGCCGTCGACGAGGCCATGGACGACGAGGCCGAGGGCATGGGCGAGGAGGAGGAGAGCGACAATATCCTCAAGGAGGTCCTCGACGAGATTGGCGTCTCGGTCGGCCAGCAGGTGAGTGTCCCCGGCAGACCTGCGTTCGCACGCGGTCTCACTGCTAAAGACGTACGGTCGCCGACTGACTACTTGGCTGCTCGCAATCCTCGCCCCTTTTTCTGCTACGTCCTTCTCGCGCTGGCTCAGCTCGGAGAGGCACCGACGGCAAGCCTGTCGGCACCGCAGGCGGCACCGCAGCAGAAGGTGGCCATTGGCGAGGGTGCCGGAGGATTCGGCGGTGGCGGTGGCAGTGGCGGTGGCGGTGGCGGCGGTGGTGGTGGCATGAGCGACGAGGATGCCCTGCAAGCCAGACTCGACAACCTGCGGAGGGACTGAGAGGCGCTCATCACCTGCTCTCCTGACGGCCGCTGCGCGTTTGCGGCCTCGTCGACATCCTGCCGGGCCCTGTTAGGCCTCCGATTGAACCGAACCAGCTTCTTCCCGTCCCCGTCCCCCCGCTCCTCTGCCTCCTGCTCGATAGGATGCGCTCGTCCTGGCCTCCTCCAGACGGGCTGTCTGGTGAACGTTCCGTGGCGACGAGACCGGCCTCTGCCCCTGTTTGCGGCTGCGTGGGGCATGCGGGCTGCCTGGAGGAAGACCTGGAAGCGGTCGGTGGTCGGGACGCCGTGAGCCGCCGCCTGGCCTGGCCTGGTCTGGCCTGCCTCGTGCCCTGTGTGGAGGAGGGAGGCCCGGCAGGCTAGCCAGCACGCGGGCAGGCCATGAGAGGGCGCTGTCTGTGCGTGTGGGGTCCGCCCGTGCTCGTGGAGCCAGCCAGCCAGGCAAGCTAAGGCTACGAGCCCTCTCAACTACCTCTCCTCCTCTCCTCCTCTCACCTCTGCCCTCTGCCCTCTGCCCTCTCCCTCTCCCGCTCCTTTCGCAGCCCATTCCTGCCTGCCTCACCCTCGCCACCACTGCGACAGCATCGCTCCTAGACGTGCGAACCGCTCCGCGCTCAAGCCTCCCACATCGCATGGCAGCCATTCGGTAGCCGCCTTCCAGCCTCACGAAGCAAGTCGCCCTCCTCCTCCTCCTGCTCCCACCGCCATCCCGACTGCCTCGCCTGCCTGCTACGACATTCCATGCATGGCCTCGTCTGCGGCGGTACCGCTTCGACCACTCTCCTCCTCCGCTTCTTCCTCCCCCTCGTCGTCCCGCAACCTACCACGTCTTGAAGGGGCGCGGCAGATCGATCGCTCACCATCCCTAGAGATCGACCCGGACTCGCGCACGGCTCCCTTGCCCGCTTCGATGTGGCGCACTGCCTCGGCATCATCACCGTCGGCGGCCGACGGACCACCGGGGCGCGATCACCACCACTACCACCACCGCCGCCCCGTCGCCTTCCTCGAGCCCAAGCCGCCGATCAGCGTCCGCCTCAATGCCGCCTTCTTCCTCTTTGGCCTGCTCAACAACTCGCTCTACGTCGTCATCCTCACCGCCGCCCTCGAGCTGCTGCCCCAGGGCGTGCCCACCGGCCTCGTATCGCTCGCCAACATCCTCCCGGCCCTGGTCGCAAAGGCCGTCTGGCCCTACGTCCTCAAGGGCACCGTCAGGTACACGAAGCGCATCTGGGCATGTGCCGGCCTCAGCTTCGTCGGCATGATGGTGGGTCGTCGCTGCACGAGGCGCTCGTCGGATCGGGCGGAACAAAGCGTCGCTGAATCTCCTGCTCCTCTCTCGCCATTTGGTCCGCCCCTCCCATCGCCAGGTCATCTCGATGTTTCCCTCGCTCGTGATGCGGCTGCTCGGCATCTCGCTCGCCTCGTTCTCCTCGGGCCTCGGCGAGCTCACGTTCCTGCAGCTCAGCACGCGCTACGCTCCCAAGCCGGCGGCGGCAAGGGGACGGTCGCGCCGGGGCGTGCCGACGATCTCGCAGGGCAACTACGCCGGCGACGGCGTCGGCTGGTTCGCCTCGGGCACGGGCGCAGCGGGCCTCGTCGGCGCGGCCGCCTGGTGGATCGTCCGCCCGCTCGGCGTCCAGGTCGGCCTCGGAAT